GTCCATTAACTAAGTCTACGTACTAAGTACTATTTACTACGGCATGTCTTAATAAAATAGTCATTAATATGCAAACCGTGTCTATTACTCGATTTACAGCTCTATCGACTATAATTTCATCTTTATTCAAACACTGTTTGTTATTTCTAACGTACTCAATGTAATATGTTACTATTTCAACTATCTATATCGCAAGAACACCGGCATTATTTTGGAATTGTTTAAAATACTCAATGCGTTCATCAACATAAGCTATTTATATACAATAGTGCGATGCGGGCGGCATCTGTACTAGTTCGTGTGTCATCTTATGTAGTGTAGTACAACGACACAATTCTATCGCAACGATAAAATTATTTAGTTTCACTGCACCGATGTCAAGTACTTTATTTCGCACATTCTTATTATTTTTTTATTTGCAGCAATTTATAAAAACCTATTATTTTACTGTGATTTAAATCAGCAGTTTCAGCTGATTTTGCACCAATCGGCAATATCGTCTGGAAAAGTGCGTCACAGAAGGGCGATGGTGAAGAGGAAATTTTTTCACTTTCCTCAACCCCGGGCGTTGTGTTCCCTAGAACGTGAACCGTCTGCTCGTTCGGCAGATTGTAACACTTATTCCCGGTTTCTGAAACACTGATCATCGTAGAAGTTAACTAATCAGTGTTTCAGTAACGGGGCGTTAAACGTTGTCCACTTTTAACGCCCGGCTTCAAGACTGTGTCGATATAAATGTGCCACCGCCGATCGCTCCCATTTGCCGATAACGGCGTCAAGGTCCTCCTGCATCCTTGGGGCAACCGTGTCCGAACGAGTGGAGCCGACGCGTCGGTGAATTGTTCACAGCATCCGACGCAGATCGCATCTCGCGTCGCCCATTGTTGATAGGTTCACGCTCGCGTGTAGCGCAACCGCTCTTCGACGCAGCGCAGTTATGGCTCCTAAATCTTAGGGCGGTAGTGTCGTTATCGCTTGCAGCTGATACGGTAACAATGGGTGTATTTTTCGAATTGCATCTCGCCGCCGGCGCTAATAGAGATCGGCGGAGTAATAATTCAAGAGCATATGTTGCTCCATCGATGGAATACTTATGGTATAACTACTTATGCCCTTGTGACGACCGGAATAATTGTAATTTTATCCTGTCCTTTTAGTCGGATTTTAAATTGGAGGAAAACGTTTAAAATGACTAATTTCTTTGGCGATATACGAGTACAAATACAGTTTTAACACTCGTTTATCCCCCGTAGAGTGGATGCCAGTGGAATCTCTACATAAGTTCTCTGCATAAGTTGAGACTATTGATTTCTTGTTTTCACACTAATTTGAGAACCCCGTGTAAAGGTACGAGACGTCGGGAATTTAAAAATATAAAATCCGTAAAATCGTTTAAACAAACTGATACTATTCATAATTATTACAATTCCTAAAAAATTGTCTTTACAAAACACAAGCACACCGCAGTTTGACCCTGGCGTTTCGCAAGGCTTACACCTCGCCCCGGTGCTCCTTTTAATCTAATTAACTATTGATTGAAATAGTCAAAAAGGAAACTAAAGCCTGTGTAATGTCAAAAGAATGAAAGAAAATCTCCATACGCGCCTCACGCGGATCAACGCGCTATCGTTTAAATGTAAGCATGCACCGCACTTCGTGAGTCATTATTTGCCACAAACATACGCGGCGACCTCTGCGGCTTTTGTTTATCGGTGACCTAATGTAGTGAGCTGCCAACAAGGTCCCGGGTTGTGGGCTCAAAAAGGCAATGCCTTCGTGTAGATCAATTTATACGACCTCGTCGCGTACTTGGAAACGCGTTTTCTGTTGACAGTCTTAAATACATGGTCGGCGAAAACTCTCCTTGGACACAATTACTGTTATATTTGGAATAAATAAGTCGGACAAACAACTGGCGACTCGACAACTTTTACCTTATTTAATCATAACTTTTACCTTATTTAATATAAAGTTTAATCGCACCACTGCAAATGGCAATAAGTAAATGGACGAATTTGTATATACCTTAATACGTATCGTTACATTCTTTAAACAAAAGTACTACCTTTGCCATTTGTCTATTAATTCATGTCCCGGTCGAACTGGATAACACACCACACAATATTAAATTAAACACAACGTCATCTTTTGGCCACTGCAAGCTTAATTAATTGCAATTGTAACAGTAAATGAAATATTTTATGTCGAATTCTATTCGTAAAAATATACTGTAATAGATTTAAGGATAGCTAATTAAAATGAACACGCGACTTAGTCGTAATATATAATTTTTTAAAAACAAAAATACATCCTAATTAAACGGACACCGCAATCGCAAATAGCCGTGACATAATAATTACCCCCGGAACATCGCATCCGTTTGGCGACGCTCCAAGTGTGCCATAAATAGCGAGTCTATTAATGAGCACGCGTTTCCCCCACGCTATTTCCGTAAGAAAGAAAGAAAGATACGTTCATTTGTTAAAACATGGTACAAATATAGGTGTTAAAAGTTGTGGTAACTAAAGAACTTATGCATTAATTTTTAGATGTAAAATTCGACGTTTTCATAGACGCGCAAGGGTCTATTATTTGAATAAAGATTTTTGAAATTCCGTTGCGTTTTCTTCTCAGATGGTGATGATTTTTTAATGTTATAAAGTTATAAATACATAGTAATACTCACAAAACACTTCAATAGGAAAATATTGAAAAAAAATACATCGATATTGAGCATGCGGTTCGATCAGAACGATGAAAAATTTTGTTTACTATTGTTTAAATTGTGTTTGTTTTTCTCTTAGAAGGAGATGATTATTTTAACGGTATACAATTATAAAAACAGAGCAGTCACAAAATAATTCAATAGGAAAAATTAAGATAAATATAGACCAAATTTCGGTGTGATCAGAACGATTAAAAATGAATTTTTTGAATCTTGTACTTTAAAAAAAGTATACGTTCAATATGATGTAAAGGTCCTTATTATGACTGAAGAATCAAAAAAAATCTTATTACACTAGGAAATACGCATAGTTAAATGTGATGCTTCTTTTAATATTTTTTTCTCACATACCTGACCCTGATTTTCAATTTGTGATATGTTCTCATGATGTTGCCACACAAAAACAAGTTTCATAATTATTATGCTTACGGCATCCATTATTTTACGATTTTCAAATAGTTATTGATAGAACTATAGTGACCATGCTTAAAAATTCATAACGTACTTAATTTGCCGATGAAATCAAGCTTTATAATAAAAGAGGTCCCATCTCACTACAATTCAGTAAGAGTTATATTGAGCAACTTTCAGTTATGTTACTACATCCACTGATATTAAATAACTGAATACATATATATTTTCCGTACATAATTATGCCGTAATTATTGGCTTTAGTAAATTTGTCAACCATAAGCATGTGTGGCAATTATATAATACACAATACAGAAACTGAAAACTGTTACTCTCTCTTGTATCAAATAAGCGCTCGTCATGTAGTCGTAAGATGTAAATCCACTCCGTGGCGCAGTTGCCAAGGTATTGGCTTCGGCGTCGGGTGCCGTGGGTTCGATCCCCACACGGGACAACTATTTGTGTGACCCACAGATAGTTGTTTCGCATTCTGGGTGTTTGTCCGCGTGCAATTTATGTTTTTAAAATACTTCCTCACTACACAGGATACAGTTATCCTAAAGTAAGGGAAATATTAAAGAAAAAAACAAGTGATATTTCTTTGATGCTTCGTAACTGTTATCATTTGAACAACACCGGCTGTGTGTGCTCCGACAGCTTCGCTGGGTCATATCATCTTCCTTTAAGTCTAAGAAATATAGGTTCAGGATAAGTAATCACCAGCATATACTAAACCTTCTCCGAAACACGCTGCATCTTACGGTAGATGTATTGTTCCGATCGGTTCAGTAGTTTTCGCAGTATAACCGGACAAAAAAATGGGCTGTCCATTTATAACTACATAGTATAAAACAATGTCGTCCCGCTGTCTGTCTGTCCTTATGTATGCTTAGATCATTAAAACTACGCAACGGACCTTGATGCAGTTTTTTTTTGGAACGAAGTTCCTTACGGCAGGCTTGGAGGGGATAGGGATTTTGCTGCGCGACCGAACTGAAAAAAATGTGATAGTAAAATCGTAAGAAAAAGTGCGTGGAATAAAACCGTTAAATGAGACGTGCGCATGCGCGACAGTCGCATAATTTTATGTTGTCAAACAAAAATAAAGAGACACATTTTGTTATTTTAGTTGATAATTTGAATTACGATGTTTTTTTATTTTAAGTAATTTATTATTTCCTAAAATACTGAATTTCCTAAATACTTTCTTGTACTTAAATAAAAAACTAATCAGCAAAATTTAAGAGAAAAATCAAGAAAACCTACATAAAATTGAGCACGTTTTTTTTTTTGCAATTTGTGTCGATTCTACATTAGCCGAAGGAACTTCGTTCCTACCTGGTGTCCCACGCACGACACCACATCATTTTACTAGATAGAGTGAAGAGGAAGGTTTATTATATGTATTGTACCCGTGCTAAGCCGGGGCGGGTCGCTAGTTAGTATATAGATAGTTTGTTACTCTATTGCGCTAAACTATTAGTTATCACACTAGTTTGTTCTTTTCGACGCTTTAAATATCACTCATAATGTACAGTCGTATTCACAGTGTTTATTTTTTTATGATCTGCAATACGTTAATTGCTTAAGTTTATTAAATTATCGTTCAATGTACAGTCGCAAGCGTATTCTTTCTTTATTTATGTCTTGCTTCTCTATTTATTTTCTACCTTTTAATTTGTATAATTGTACAGTCGCGTTCATAGTATCTGTTTTAAAGGCTACACAATAAGTAAGCTCATTAAATTCAACGTGTACAGTCACGCTCACGTTGTTTACTTTTCCGCTCTGCGATATGTAAATATTAGAGTGTTTCTTCTTTACCACGCTATTCTCATTTCTCACTCTCGTTCTCCATTGGCAGATGAACGTCCGCGTGACGACGATGGACGCGGAGCTGGAGTTCGCGATCCAGCAGACCACCACCGGGAAGCAGCTCTTTGACCAGGTGGTGAAGACCATAGGCCTGCGCGAGGTCTGGTTCTTCGGGCTGCAGTACACCGACTCCAAGGGTGACCTCACCTGGATCAAGCTGTACAAGAAGGTTAGTGTTGCCACAATGCCATAGCTACAACGTTTCTGCACTGACCTCTCCTTAATTTCAGTATACTTAAAAAAAATATTCGCAGTGTCGATTTGTCGTTTTTTTTTTGATAATATGATTTATTTTTCTTTTGTATGAGATAATTACATTTATGTCGACAGCGTTTCTTTCTTCGATAATGCCTAGCCTAGATCCGATGTAATCGCGTGTTTGTTTCTTTCTTATTGTTACATCGCTTTGTGTGCGCACTCGCTCGTAGAACGTATTATTTACGAACGGACGTTGGCCACTGCGCAACGTGCTATTTCCGACGTACCCGTGGCCCGTCAAGTTCAAGTTTGGGCCGGCCGTCACGCCGGCCAATTCTTGCGCGGCGCGGCCGGCCGCTTGTTGCGATATGCGAGCGCGTCCGTATCTCGCCGCTCCTCGTACTGCCGAGCCTAATCCGTCGACCGCTCGAGCCGATGTAACCCGCGCTGATCTGCCCTTCGAGAACTTTCGGCGACCGAAAACACACGCGCATCTAGTACATATGATTTTGGGGGATGGTGGTCACACCGAAGAGAAGCCCGTAGGAACTATCGACTTTTAATACCAATCTAAGATGATGATTTACACAGTCCCTAAGAAGCCGAAAGCGAAATCACATCCAAGACAAAAACTTTACATTGTTTGGGTTTAGTGTATCTTACACGGGAACGTGTTTTTGACAAAAAAAAAAAAAACAATTTATCAAAATCTTGAGTTTGGGAAACGTTGTCGTAAATCAAACGCCATAGAAAACGTCCAAATCATTATCACGCGTTTCGTGCGCAGCCTCTCGAGGCCCGAGCAAGGAAATATCGCAAGTCTGCGTGTTTGCGACCCTGCCCTGTGCCAGTCAAAGCTAAGGAATCCTTCGTGATTGAAAGGAAAAAAGGTCAATGAGGGACACCGTTTGGCTACAATGTGTACGTTATACCGTAGGCCAGGCAACAGTGTTGCACGAATGGGCAGGCTAGATCGAGGTAAGTGCCCGCGGCCTCTAAGAAGACGGATGTGAATTGAAAGTATTGAAACTGTCAGGTGAGTTAACCGGGGCACGCATTTTTTTGAAGGTTGTCAACGCATCAGCTAACCATCGCGTGTTGAAGATGTCCCTGGGCGGTGGTATTCATTTAACATTGTTCATGTGAACCATCTGCTCGCTTGACAACTTTTCATATAAAAAATAAACATAATTATTACAGTTTCGTGTCATTAACACGGAGTAATTTGAGTTGGGTACAGCGGTAGATCTTCCATTATTAACCTACTGCGTATCATTTAAAATGAAGTTTAGTTAGATCGATGCGTTTTTATAACATCAGTTACAAGATAACATCCATTATGGTGCGGAGGATTAATAAGCCAGTGCATAAATATTATTCATACTTATGTTAATTGGCCCGCTGGCCTTGTTTAGTCACACTACACTCTTGGACGGTAATTGGTTGGCGTATTATCGTAACACGGGCGACACACGTGCCTTCAAACCAATACAATTTTCATTTGTGCCACAGATTATGTGAATGTTTTATTACGGTTATGTGCACGAATGGGCAGGCCCGAGTACCACGACCTCACAGAAGACCGGCGTAAAGTGGAAGTATGAGGCGCCCAATTTTCAAAAGGTTGTCAACGCATCTGTAACCCTCGAGTGGCGGTCCATGGGCGGCGGTATTCACTTAACATCAGGTGAACCGTCTGTTCGTTTGGCAACTTTTCGTGAGAAGGCGACAGGTGGGCTGGCGGCTTACCCGGTGTTAAGTGATATCTAACGTCATTGAATGGACAGTTGCAACGCCCGTAGGGTTGCCGACTTTTAATAAAGTGGACTCGGATTACCTCACTCGCCAGACGAAACGCAACGCACTTCCAATTCACGCCGGTCACCTGCGGTGTCGCGGTACTTACCCGGACAGACCTACCCGTTCACGCAAAAGGAAGGCTGTTTCACCTCCAGTGGCGAATTTGTAGTCTTGGCCGTCCCAGACCCCAGCCCATAATGTAAGGTCCAGCCGCCCCTTCATCAGCGCCCATCATATATCTCTTTATCATCAGAAAATTTTTTGTCAAGATTGACCGCCCCTAATAAGTGGCCCGGGCCTATTGGGCCTTAAGGCAAATCCGCCACTGTTCGCGTCCCTACCGCTGGCACGAGAAATTGTTTTGTGACTTGGAGCCGCTTGTCATTCGAAGCGTGCGGCGTATCCGACGCGATGCGTTTCCATTGGCTTCTTACAAGTCCCCATTATCCTCCGGCATTGACCCGGTGAGTCAATGCCGACTGGTGCGCACGTAACCATCGTGCTCTATCAACGAGGACGTCGTCGCGGAAGCTTCACGAATAAACACGAAGGCCGTCGACGGCGGGGCGACGCTTTCTTTCGCGTCGTCGCGGGTGAGACATTTGTGAGCCGTAGGCCGCCCGTTTTCGATCCATTTGGTAATTTCGGCCACTATAATTTCGGCCAGAACGAATGATATGGTCAGCAGTATTCTTCCACACAGGTTCATATTTATGCATATTTTTTATTAAACGACCACCGAAATATGTTCGGTTGCGATGGTTTTGTGGTAAATTAAAAGCAACATACGAGACCAGAAAACTCTCCTATCATTTCTGCCTATTAAAATCAGTGCTTTTTCGATTGTCTCTCATAGTCAGTAGGAATAAATGTGTGATGAGATTTCCTTTTTAAAATTTCTTACGTACACAAATCACTGACTCACATTAGTGTCTGATACATAAGCTGTTTAAGCCTGTTTAAAACGCTTGTCATGTCGGTTACATAAATTATTTTGATTTAATCATAATTAGTGCATTTTGCACGAAGTGGGGTATAAAATAAATTTGTGACCAACATTGTCCAACACGTTTCTAATGTGCAGGAGGGCAGAGTTAATAATAACATGAGTTATAATATAACAAAGTGTAAAAAAACAAAATGGCAGTAAGCTTATTTTATTATTCTTGCTACTTTTAACTGGTCCGGGAAACGGTCGTCGAGCAATTTTAGTTAAATGCACACTGTTACTGACGGTAGCTTTTATTCTAGATATTCAACAAATTGATGGTGTTCTTTCTTCTTTGACATACGTTTATGTTCAATTTTAACACTTCATCGAGTTAATGGCATTAACAAAGCTTGTCTTCCAACATCAAAGCGCCAGCGTGGCGTTTCTGATTAATCATTTCGTCTCCACTCATGGCTCGTTCATATTTTTAGCTCGTAATAGGTCATGTGACGTTCCACTTTCGAACTACACGATCAATAGAACTAACGAAATAGTAATGCGATTGCTTGTGTTCATCGTGCCGCACGTGCGGTTCACCTCGACCCGATGACGGTTTTACGAGTGGAGCGTTTCAATTACACCAATTTTTTTACGAACGTACTTTACGACAATTGATACAATTGCGTAGGAGCAGCGTGATAAGCACACAGCCATATATGCAAACGTATTATATATAATAAGTAAATGAAAAAGTAAAGTAAATTTTTAAGAATTCCTGCCTTGTAAACGATGGAGCAAGTGTGCGTGTTAAATATCTTTGTGCTATTCATAATGAATAACGTTTTTGTGCCGTCACATATTACAAATGGGTAACGATTTTTTAAAGAATATTTTAGACATTTTTGGAAATATACTGCCCACAACAGATATTTGAGCATGGGCTGGTACAAATGGTACAAATCGGTTTCGCAATAGACATAGACAGCGACCGACACAGAGCTGTTTAGGAAAATCTCCGACTTGCCGCTTCTGTCTTGGCATGTTGTCCCTATTAAAACTAGGGTTCAATGGCGGCACTCCCACGCGCACTCACGAAAACTGTCTATATGCACGCCGTACGCACACGCGCATACGCTTACGAACAGACACGCACTCACACACGCACAATACCAGTGTTGCCAACTTTCCCCAGACTGCACCGGCCGCCGCCAGCTCCGTCGCTTGGAAGCGTCCACGGGCCGATTGTAAACATCATTGAGTTTGTGTCAATTCTATGCGGCACGTGATTGGATCACCGCGCCGCGTGTTAGTAAATATGGGTCGCGCTCCACTCGCGGCACGGGCCATCGATTAAAAACACATTGGAAACATTCAATAGCTCCGCTGCGCCGCTAATTTGTTCGGCTTTACGATATACACTATCCTGCGTGTTTAATTCGGCTTGTAAGTTATCAGCGTTCCGAATTCCATTGGAATCCGTTCAGCCGTTGCGGCGCGCAGGGAAACAAATACTTTCGCATTTATATCAACGCTTTGAATAGTATCTCTTTCTCTGTCTTTTATCTTCTATCGATTGATCTCTTTGCTTTAAGTCTTACATAAAGTTTCATAACCATAAGCCTCAATGATACCGTTTGCTAGCTAGCGATGATTCGAGAATTTCGATCAACACGCGATCAAGATGCTACATTTGATTGGTCCAATCCATCTAGCTGTATCCAATCAAATGCTGCGTTCAAACTCGTATTTCTCGTTATAAAACCAGATAATGATCATCCGGCAACAATCATCTGAAGAGTTTCTCTTCCGATCCAGTGAGAGATTTTTCCAGACACCTTTCCGCGAACCGTTCGGTTACTTTCTTTAGAGACGGTAACTCGTGACAATGAAGATTGTACCGTCAATGTATGTAGGAAACTCGACGTTTGATGAAAGATTGTATGTTCGCTATCCACTACCGCAACTTCGTGAGCACATCCTTATAAACTCGTCGGCAGACCAACTCTATCGTTGAATATCTGAGTATATATTTATGTAATTATTTATAAATATTACTATCTATGACCCCTAGGGTCGCCCAGTGGTCGAAATTCGACCACAATTAACTATACATGCTAGTGTGTGTAATGTTTTTTTATTGATTCAATGTATTTTTATGTATAATTAAAAAAAATATTAGCATTCTGCACTGCTTCTCTATATCAAGTGTAAGTTTGGAAGTATTGTATATATAGTACTGGAAGTCTTTGCGTCACATATTAATATATAGATTACGTTTAATGGTTAGTATTCTTCTTATTTAGTATATGTTTAAGTATTTTATTTAACATATGCATATCCATATTGTATGTAGTTTGCTTTTTCTTAATTTTTTTCTGTGTTATCACGTAATGTTCTCTGCACCACCATAAGGTCGATGGGGAGATAATGCCTTTGGTATTAAGTCCGCCTTTGCACTTATTGTGCACAAAGAATAAATAAATAAACCGCTACTTCTGAATGGATTGAATTTTTGAATGTAGTTAATGTGCCGTAAGAACTATTTAATTTATATAACTATACGAGAGATGACGCGGCACGTAAAAGATAGTTTGATTTTTACGCCATCTGCTTCGCTTGAGCGATTGCAGATGATTAGATCGTAAGTTTCACTTCTCTTGTGAATGTGCTAAAATTTACAAACGGATCTACATACTTTCGAACAGCATCAGCTGTTTATTTGGAATGTTCGACATTACTACCTAGTTTATGAAGATAAAATAAGCTTTACTTAAAAAATGCTGGACGAATTTGTTGGGAACTCAATTGACTGGCAATTGATTTAGTTGTGGTGTTCTTGTTTCGAGCTATTCTTACCTGTCGTGCTTTAGGCATATTAATTACTACCTTAGAAACGCACTTGCTTTCTGTTTGCTCTTTTGGCATTTAAACGTCAGTGCGTTTGTGGTACTTTTCTTTTAATGTTTACACGTTTTTTGTTCAAAAATGCACTGAGCGTCGATATTTGTACAGCCGTTGAAATATCGTTTTGTTTCTACAGTGACGGTGACAACAGAAATTCTAAAAGGCGCATATCTTATCTGTCGAATAATCAACTATCGGTTCCGTTATCGTTATTTGATAATCTGTCGTAACACTTTACTTGCCAACTGCCGATCAACTGCCCATTTGTCTATATCCCTTCAGAGGAACTTTTATAGCTTCTTCTCTTCGTCCGTTTGTGCAGTGCTGCATTATGTGCGTTTCGGCCGCTGTACGTATGTTGTAGACATTGTCAGTGTATCTTACTTTGCTATAGTAAGACCCACTTCGCAGCTTCTGCCGTTACACGAATGGGCAGGCTAGTCCGGGCAAATACCACGAAAGGATCACAAAAGGCCGGCAGGGAGTGAAAAAAAACTTTCATTTCCCGCCGGCTCCCCTTCTTTCGTTTCATCTGGTGAGCGAGGTAACATCAAAAATGCATCTGCAACCCCCTCAAGTGTTGTAGACGTCTATGGGCAGCGGTGATCACGTAATATCAGGTGCACCACCTGCTCGCTAACCAAATTTTTACATAAAAAGAAAACATTTTTTACATAAATATTAATAAAAATGAGTATGCGGATGATTTTTTCTTGTCTCATACTATTTAAAGCGTGATCCTTTTATGATTTTAGTTTTTGAACTTACTTTTTATAGTGCGATATGCTATCACTGCGATTTTAGCTGAAATTTGATACGAAAGCAGTTCCAACTCGTAATACATGCTAATCTATTACCTTCGTATTATCTCTAACAGTTTCGTCTGCATTAAGAGTGATGACGTCAGTGCCCCGCAAGGAATTTGTCCGATGGACGATAACATAGCTTGAAAAATCCGCCATTTACGGATGTACGAGTGTTTCACTATGCAGACAGAAAGTATATTGAGTTTCTTTGTCACCGTTTTTGTACTATTTACAGAGCTTCAATCGGAATTGCGAATAATAATAATAATAATAATAATATCTATATCTATATCTTTATTTTTGTTTTTATTTTTATTTATAAACCCAACCAGACGAGAAAACAAATGAATATCCCCCATAATAATAGTAATAATTGTGTAATAAAAATAATGCTCCAGTGTCTGAAACTTTTCCATTACTCTGCTTACCGCTTATTTTACAAAATGACGCCTTTTTTTAGTTCGTTTATCTTAAGAGTAGACGTTACTCCCTCCGCGTACGGTCATATTCGTAATAAAATATACTAACATCTCTCTCTACTATTAAGGCTCGTTGCCCTTCGCTTACTTATACTACTCTTTTAAAATTTAGACTTGCATACATGTAGACGTTTATATTTGTACAATATGTATTTATTAACAAAAGAAAAGTATGTTTAAGTATGTTTATCAGTTATCTATTACCCACAGTACAAGCGTTGCTTAGTTGGGGACTAGAAAACTGTGTAAAAATGTCCCTAAAACATTTATTATTATATTATATACCTATTTATTTAGGCATAGGGACAAATACCGGAAACTGATGACTTGGGAATAAATAAAACGTGAACAAAAGAAAATTCCACTCTTTGAATGTTTAAAAAAAGATTTAAAGGGTAGACGGTTCTGGATTCGTATCATTTAATAATAAAGTCACGAGTACTTGTCAATTGCTTTAATTCCCGACCATCAATATATCAGACGGGTCGGCTGTTCGAATCCTTATTATTCGTCCCCTCCCCGCTCCCAACCACTGTCTGTTATCTCTCGCAAGCGTTGAGTCACCGTCGGAAGCCCGCGTTTACAACTGCCTAGCGTCTTGACCGTTAACGGTCGAATTTTAATGCCCATATGGTGTAGATATCACGCACAGTAGACTTGATCGATTTTACAGTTAAAACATCGCCGTGTATAACTTTTCGCATGCAGTCATTTCCACTCTGTGACGTGGTAGTTCAAAAATTTTAAAGCGAATGCGCGAAATTCGCCTTTAATTTTATTGTACTCCGGCAACCTTTCAAATTTGGCTATTGGCACCAATGACATTGTTAAATAATAGCTTCAGAGCTGGTTTATTACAAGTAGTACGTTGGAAAGTAACGAAGATAGAGCAAACGATTTGATCAAAGCTGTCGTCGTCTCTCCGTCCGTTTATAATGCGAGTGTCTCAAAGCCACTTACAGAGCTACACTACATGGTGTATCTATAGCGCTTAATTTTTCTATTAAATGGAATAATAATTAAACACTTGCCACGCTGCCATTAGCTTAATATAAGCGTTAGTAAATCACGCATCTGATGCAGCGATCGGAATTCGCTTCGTTTGCCTTTTCGACGAGCGGGGTACCCCAAGGTACGTCAATATCCGTGCAAAAACAACGCTTCAACGCTAACCCTCACTAATCGTATTCGATAGTACTACAGGAAGCGACACATTCTCGAAGATAGGTGCGCGAGCACTAGCGGACGGTGTTTCGATTACGTAATCTCGCCATTCCGCATACCCGATATGACAAACGCCGCGGCCGTCGTTAGGCTCCACTCATTCTCTAGATCGCATTCCTAACGAGCCCTGGCCGATGATTGCCTCTCTTACGGATGTTGTTTTTTTTCCTCTTATTTACGATCTCGCACGCTTCGTCATTGAAGGCACATTAACACGCCATGTAACATCTATGTCACTCTATCAACAGTAACCGTGCATTTTTGTTAGAAACCTGACTGATACCTTTGGAAAGTAATAGAGAATTTATTTACACCTTTAACTGTACTACGGACTGGGACTTGACAGATTAGCATGTTTGCTTTGCCTTGTGATATTTTCCCTCATAATCCATAACGTACTATTTTTGTATCACCAGCTGACCGGATGTTTTAAGTGGAATTATTCTTGTAGTGACACCACTTTACTATTTATTCTATTGTTTTTAATTTACTATCAGAATTTCTTACTTCTTATCGAATTACGATATAGGGAAAATTATCTGTAGATATAAAAAATGGGTATTTGTTCGCCGAACTCGAAAAATTTTCTTTATTACGCCTACAGAGTTCCTAAAACAATGAACAAACAGAACGAGCGTCTAACGACATTCGTTACTTATTAGTCAATAAACTATTTGTTCGCGTTCGTGTTTTGATTTGTACCGACCGATTCTTTTATTGTAATTTAATGGTAATGGAAGACCAGAGAATTCCAAAGGAACCGGTTGGAATGATAATTAGACAATCAATGCTACGTTTCGTTACCCATTCCGATAAGCGCAATTCTATGAATCACTCGTAAGGTACTGAAACTGTTAACTATCTACGGTTTTACGTTCCGAATAACAGGAAGACATTTAAAATTTTCATGACATATTTTCACACAACGTTATCTAGTCCCAAACTAAGGAAAGCTTGACCTATGACCTTGACCAGGTAACTGATAAATATAATTTTCTTACGTAAATAAATACATATTATAGATATATAAAAACGTAGACCATAAAAAAGGCTATGTTCATCACACAATATTTTTCCGGTAGTGGAGATCTAACCCATACCCTCTGGTCAAGAGACAAGTCCGCTATCCATTACGTCAATAGCGTCGTCAATAATCAACATAAAAAGTAAAAATAGTTAGAAATATCTATAATTAAGTATTTTTCATGAGTATATGCAATTCGCCAAACCGCATCAGTAGATTGGGTCGTATATAAGTCTTTTCCTAGCACCGGAACATACACATTCATCCCTAGGGTCTTTTCTTTCTTTACTTGCTTTATATGCTGCTTTATATGATAGATATTCGACATGGTTGTGAGCATCGTTTTTCCTTTTGAAATATGGTCGCAGCCAGTACATTTCAACACCGATATATTTTTTTCCCTTACCTCTTACTTTTACATTTTATCAATTACCTCTACTTTGTTCTTGGAATTCCATTACTGTTGGAATAGTCTTTTTAATTAATCTTACACGTTTACAATAAAGTTTAGCTGCAATTCATACATATAGCAATGAATCATCTCGCATTGACCGGTATGACTAAACCAGCTGACGTACTAAATGATAACAACACCCTTATGATATATAAACATACCGAGAATTGTTCGATATTTAACCTTATCGAATTCCTATATAATGATTCATCGATTACTTTTAGTTTATAATCAACGCTACGTGCTTAATTGAACTTATGTTTCAAAGTAATTAACACAAATGTAACGTTAATAAAATATCTTCATAAGAAATCTATCTAATTTATTTTAAAATACACAGTTCAATATACAGAACAGTTGGAGGTGTGGATCAACTGTGTTAGGGCTACGCAAAAGTCCCCTGTTGCACGAATGGGCAGGTCCGTTCGGAGAAGTACCACGACCTCAAAGAAGAATGACCTCCGGCGTGAAGTGAAAATGTTACTTGTAATACTTCTGCGTTTCGTCTGGTAGGTGGGACACACTTTATTAAAACTTGGCAACGCATCTGCAACCCTACGGGTGTTGCAAATGGCCATGGGCGGCGGTCATCACTTAACATCGGGTGAAACGCCGGCGCGCTTACCACCTGATCACATAAAAAAAATCAGCGGTGTCTACGTTACTGCGGTGTGTACTTTTACGGCTGACATGGTTTTTATTCGTTCATTTCAATTCGATATTCATTTCCATTCCTGTTTTAAATTTTTCCTACCAATTTCCACCGTCGGTTTAGTTCAGTCTTTCCCGTTCACTTGCAACACCGGCTCGGCATGGCTTAGCGGGAAAGTTGTATTCGGTCCCGTGTTGACGTGTGCGATTTCACCGGCGGCGAAGTCGCGGCATCGCCTGTTATTTAACCCATGGCGGTGGCACGCGCGCCTTTGCTATTCGCGGAATGTGATGCGGACGGCGATAGCGCGTCACTCGATTTGTCTCGTCCCCTCTTATTACTGGCGAAGTTATTCCCGTAATGAAACCGATAAAACTTATGTAGTTTTAAGTGCTTCTTCACATCTTCCTCGGTGGTGCGGCAGACGAAAGAATTTTTTATCTAAGAAATAATACTGACACAAATATTTCAAAGACATATAATGACGGCGTATTCTCTTGTAAATAAATTATCATATTTCCCAGTAGTTAGTCAAATGTGAACTGAATATACTTCTCAATATTGACATATACTCGGTGGGGCTATTGTCTGGTTTTACTGTTAATATACTTTTGAATATCTATTTTCAAACTTATTCGATTGGAGGATTTTGAATGACAAGGTGGCCTAAATCTTACAAAGGACAAGATGCTTAAAACACTGTCAAGTCTCTTGTTTTTTTATCTAAGTATTTTTATTATAATAACAGTATTAATATGATTACTTCGCTGTTAATTATATAGTGGTAAAAACACTTGAAGCAAGAGTCAATTCTTTAATTGTACAGTTGATAAAGGTGTATTTACTCCTTAAAGGTTATCATACGTAAACATCATATTTACTTGTGCCAAAGTCACCTATAGGGACGAATTTAGCGCGCTCAATCATTTTGTATACAATACGGCGCGGATAAGTGCATTCATTGATGAATAACGCATCGGCTTGTGGAAACTTCTCGCGTTATTGTTCGCGGCTCGGCCCACATGCGGTGAGATCACGCGCCACCGCGCCGACAGGTTTGGCATCGACGATCCGCTTTGTACCAATAAATCCAGTGATGTTTGCATTCGAATCTCCACAAGTACGCACTCTAAAATTGTGGCCATAAGAGATAATAAAGTAAAAAAAAAAAAAAACTCGAATCGAATTAACTTTTTTCAATTTTGAATATATCTTGCGGGCGTATGTCAGTTCCTTGCGGGACGCCGGGATAATTTTTACAGACAGAACCGCAGGAGAGGCTTGATCGATAATAAAATGATGTTTTCAGAAAGATACAGATATCTGAAACCTCTTGATGACACGCATGAGTGTTTACGTACATATAGGAAGATATGTGTAGCACTATGCAGCGGTGATAACATATGGATTTGGTTCTATGTTCTTGGAATATGAAAAGTATTGAAAGAGATCGGAAATTAGATTTTATATATATAGTTTTGCGTTGTCGCACTTTTCCTGTGACAGGGGCAGTGGCCACAAGCAACAATCTTCGCTGTTGAACGAATTGACAGGTCATATAAACCTTCCTCTTGAATCACTCTATCTAGTAAAAAAAACCGCATCACGATCCTTTGCGCAGTTTTAAAGATCTAAGCATACATAGGCACAGACAGACAGCGGGATGACTTTGTGTTTATACTATGTAGTCAACCTCAATTGCGTCCCCCCGCACCTCACCGTATCGCCTCGTCTTTCGCACTTAGCAGGAGATGATAAAGACCGAGCGGAGCTCACGCGCGGCGCGGTCAGCGGCGCGAGACGGCTCGCCCGCCTGACCCCGTTCCCACGGAGCGGCTCATCGCCACGCGACCTCTGACCCACCGACACACCTGACTCGCCCGACGCACCTGACTCGTCTGACTCGACGCGGCGACACAACCTGACCCGCCGCTCTTGCGTCTCCATTTCGAGGTGGCGACGCGTGTACAAGCCGTAATATTAGGACTGAAGACGCATAACGGTTTTGACGCGAGTCCGCTTAAGCGATATAGACTTTGATAGTTTTAGTGATGCTTTTATTAGTCCTTCATAAAAATTTTCCATCTCGGCATAAGTGAAAAAGGCGTCTAAAATGCTTTCAAACACCGTGTTAAAATTTTTTTAATGATGCAATCAATAAGATTGTTTTTAATCGAGTCTCGCCTTCGGAATTATCCCTTTATCGCTAGGGATTTCATAAACAAAAACCACTATGCACACTGAATCGAAACTACATACTGTTGTTCAGCCACCGTCATGCGATGTACATCACAACGTAGTATAAAACAAAGTCATCCCGCTGTTTGTCTGTCCCTATGTATGCTATCTTTAAAACTACGCAACGGATATTGATGGGGTTTTTTTTACTAGCCCGCTAGTATAGCTGTAGTAGCGGGAGAGTCGCTAGTACTTACATAAATCGTTCATGGATCTTAGCAGTTCAGTAGAATGTAAAAATGACACGAAGCTGCCACCGATCAATACTTTATACGCCATCGTTTATACCCCACCCATTAATTTATCTCCGCAACACGTCGATAGAAAGGTTACTTTGCGGATTAGAGGACCACGTTTGGGTGCAAAGACCTCTCAAGTGCCAAGGCGTACGGCTGGTACAGATAATTAAAATTAAGAGCAATTTATTCTTTCACTTTATCCGAGTTATTTAAATCTTAAGCGTGATAACGCACATTTGTGACTGCGTTTCTTGATTTATTTTTATTTTAATGAACTACGAAGACTATTGAAAATTAACCGACCTTACCTAGTTGTCTATTAAATATATAAAATAATCTATACCTTTAAACGAGCAATTCTTGTATATATATATATATATATATATATATATATATAAAGAGCTGGCGGTTCACCAGATGTTAAGCGATAACCGCCGCCCACTGACATTTGCAACACCCGTTGGGTTGCAGATGCGTTGCCACCTTATAATAAAGTGAGCCCCGGCTACCTCACTCGCCAGAAACGAAACGCAGAAGTATAACACTTCCACTTCGCGCCGGTCTTCCGTGAGGTCGTTGTCCTCACCCGGACGGACCTGGCCATTCGTGCAACAGAGAGGACTGTCGCTTGGCCCTGCTAAAAAACAAAACAAATATCTCGCTATAACCGAGCGTGGCGTACATTTAGCGGAGGCGGCGGCGGTATGGGCGCGGCGCACTCGCCGGAGAAAGTGGAGAGCGACCTTGCCTGACGCGGTGGCCTCAAGCCTCCAAAACGCAGGGCTGGCGCTCGTGTTCGATCGTACGTTAAGGAATTCCGCGGACAGGCCGTTGCACGCGGCTTCGCTTGCGTTACCACCACGATCACGAGGGTCATCGATAGTAGGAATGCTGGAATCGCCTTTTAGCCGAGCTTTTTTACTTTTTAAAAAAACCTGTCAGTCGCAAAAACACGCATTTTAGTATTTATAGTATGAAAGTAATAGTTCCTTGGCCACAGTAGGGCACTGGGGCCACGCAATAGCATCTGCTCGTTGCACGAATATACAGGCTCCTCAGGGAAAGTACCACGGCCACACAGAAGGCCGGCGTTAAGTGGAAGTATTAAACTTTCGCGTTTCGCTCGATGAGTGAGGTAACCAGAGCATTTTTTTTTAAAGTTTCTCAACGTATCAGCACGCCATCGGGTGTTGTAGATGTCCACGGGCGGCGGTATTCACTTAACATCAGGTGAACCGCCCGCTGGCTTCACAACTGTTCACATTGAAAAAAGTACGAACTGGACATGTGGTATGTGAATTATAGTGGGCAAATAACGTTTCATATTTATATATTATCACTACATGGTATAAAACAAAGTCGTTTCGCTGTCTGTCTGTCCCTATATATTTAAAACTACGCATCGGATTTTGATGAGGTTTTTTTTTTAATAGATAGAGTGATTCAAGGGGAAGGTTTATATGTATATTTCATGCATAATATAGTAGATAAACATTGATAAAACAAACATTCAGCATTGCAACCGTGCGTAGCCGGTGCGGGTCGCTAGTCTATATACATATACGTGAAGCAAAAGCCTCTTTTAACGAAAACTGCGCGGACGGAAGAGTATGCAATAAATAAACATTACACACACTACCATGTATAATTAATTATGGTCCACTAATAGTATTATCTAAATAGCCCTACGATATTGATAACATGCAATAAAGCATCAAGAAAGAAAATAGTGAAACTACGTTTAAAACGATTCCTGAAGTGAGCGTACACGAAGCCAAGAGACATTCCGATGGCGGTGCAACCTGCCGCGAAAGTAACTTCCATCTGTTACGAACGATTTAGTAGAGCACATATACATGTCTTGACTCAAGTCTAGACTGGACTAGACTTGTACTATCATAGCATATACACATCAGATCGGCCCACCCGGAATTAGGTCCGAATTGTCAGTCTGAATGTTGAATAATTTCGATTAAAAATATGTTCTGCGACTCCCTATCACCCATTATTGAGTCAGTTGTATTTTATTTGTAATGACGATTTTGAGAGTTTTCCAGACTGGAAAGTTAAACTGTTTCGACGTCAATACACCTAACGAGAGATTTTCGTCAAGCTACTCGATTTTTCAACGCTTTTTTTTTACATCTATAAAAGTTAACTAACAACATAATACTGCTGGGCATATGCCTCCACTGTAAAATCGGCAACGCGATTGCGGATTGGCATATCTTCGAAATGTTAGTTATTTTACAGTTACGCCAAAAGACGTCAACAACGTGAATAAAATTTCGTTGTTGCTGGGATGTTACTGCATTGAATGATAGCAATAGACTCTAGCTTAGTTACCAAGGTATTATTAGCTGCGGCGTCGGGTGGTCGTGGGTTCGATCCCCACACGGGACAACTATTTGTGCGACCCACAGATAGCTGCTCCGCATCTGGGTCCACGTGAAATTTATGTTTGTACAACGCCCTTACAATCAACACTTTAGGATCATGTTATCCTAAAGTAAAGGCAGTGTCTCATAAGAAACAAATAAAAATGGAAAAAGGGCACAAGTCTACCAAGAATCCGAAAACATCTGGCGCGTCGTAATTTAATAACATGCCTAACGGTGACAAGACATGGTGGCGAGTGACTCTTAATGGAACATAATTGATCCTATTAGTGAGAAGCGGCCGGCTCATTGTCCGCAAACTGGGTCGTAGGGTGATTTCATTCTACCCCACATGAAAGATCAACCGCTGCTTAGCAATAAAGGGGTCTTACACAGTGATTCTACACATCGGAGGGAGATAGGAGATTCTATCTCCGTTTCACGGAGCGTATTAAGCCTCGAATTTAATAGAGAGTAATGCGATTGCATTGTAACGGAGTGCCATTGAGAAAATCCAAGTGTTTGTGTGGAACACGCGACGTCTTACTAAGGAGAAACTCGCATTCGCTTCATCTCCGCGCTATCAACACGTGAAACGGAAAAATGATTGAATTCGCGTTTTGTACCGTAGTGCTGAGCCGTTCTTAAGAAAAGCTTTAACGGCTCCTTACACATTATCGTGATGGCGTTTTTAATATACAATTTGCACGTGTAAGAGCGTCTCAGACGATACATGGAATCTAATCGAGGATCCGCGACGCAGAAGCCAATAGTCCAGCTACTAATTACCTAATCTACAATTAGTTGTTTTGTCCTCTTACCTTACTAAATTTAAAATGATAAACGCAAAATTATAAATACGTTTATTGATATGAGTACTTTCCAAGGACATGCTGGTCATCCACAAAAGACTGTGAGTTCGGACAGTGTAGTAGCGTTTACGTGCGTGTCTTAAGATGGTAGTATCGCCAAGTCCGAGTGTGCCCCGCGCAACCGTCGCAAGCGCGAACAGCTGATCGTATGAACGAACGCGCCCGCGGGGTCGTCGACCTCACTTTCGCCTCCCACGGCTGCTCTCAGCCCCAGCCGCCTTGCTCAATCCCGCGTCGAGACGTCGCCAATCGTTCAATAGCTCGTGAATGAGAACGAATGCAATTCAAAAAGTGCACACGCGCCTCACAACCCCTGCCGCTATGAGAGAACAAGCGCGTCCGTTTTCCAATCGAACCAATTTTGAACCCGGACCGCGAATAGAGCCAGGGGCGGTGAACCTTTATCGATCCAAGTGCGATTTTTATCAAGACATAATTAAATGAGGCCAATGAGTGCGTCCTAAGAATCTTGATTGGTGATCAATGAAGAAGAACCTTATTGCTGATAATATTAATTGAACCTTTTTTTTTTAAAGTAGACAAAAACGAAATTGCGCTGTGCAATAATAGAAAACTCGTCTCGTGTTTGAATTGTTTTAATGTCCATTTTCAATTGACGTGACATGTATGTTATGAACATATGGGGAAAATACATCGCTCAGGCTTTCACTAATCGTACTTTTGGTGCACTGGTTTTGAATCAATGACGCGCAACTCACATCCGTGTGTTAGGCTGCGGTTTCTTTTTTGCGAAAAAGTTGTCAAGTAAGTTAAGTAATCAGCGCCGCCAATGGACATCTGCAAGATCTGAGGGGTAGTAAATGCATTGGAAGACATCTAAGACACCCGAGGGGTGCAGATGGGATGATAGCATTTTAACAAGTGGGCTACGGTTACCTCACTCGCCCGACGAAACGCTAAAGTACAATACTTCCAACTATTTATATGTACTCCCACTAACATACTATTCGTGATAATGCAACCACTAACTGCAGGTTTTTTGACGACACTTGTATGGAGGTCAATGACCCTTCTCAAATACTTACACGGCACATCGTGTAATATTCACATGTCTGGCCGAGGCGTCGTTGCTTTATGCTCTTGCAATATACCACTAATCTAATAGACTAGAAAAAAAACTAATTACAAACTAAAAGACAAATCAAAAAGACAAATTTTTATTAGTGCTAATCTCGGCACTAAGATGAAACATGTAGATAAAATACGTTATGATATTCGTCGGTGTGACAATCAGCTGTTTAGCTTAGTGGTTAAAACGCCTGGACGCGAGTCAGGAAGACATGGGTTCGATTCTCACAGCGGCGAAAAGTTTTTCTTACAATTTTTCTGCATATTTTAATTTTAGTAACCGATTGTATTACTTTCGCGATTACAGTATAAGTAAAATGAACAGAAGAGAGGAGGTGGATTTGACCTTTAACAAACGTTATTATTGTTTTGTTTGAATTAACACTGAGCGTATACGTTTACTAAACTTAAACTACGAACGTATTACGAATTACAAAAACATTATTAACAAACTCTCGCTTTTATGTAAGCGAGAGTTTATATCGCATAAATTGTTGGCGTATGAGATCCTTACAAATAATTATGTTGCGCAATACAAATCAAACAAACTGAGTTAAAATGCTCGTGACTAATTAAACAGCAATATAATATTAATTATAATACGTACGACACTCTTGTTATGAGTTCGGAGCAACTCATCGGTGGCTGCCACAGATTAGTGCTTTGAACCGTATTCCCGATTCGTCAGAGTGCCACCACCCACTCGGCTTCGACACAATCGACTCACGCGCCCATATACGTTGGTATCGATTAAATTATTCAAATGCTCTCAGGTCTTAAATAATGACTTTACACTTAAGGACATTAACCCCACACTGGGGCGCTGCGTTGATGTATGGTGGCGATGTGTATGTAAAGTTACTGTATCCAATGATATTATATACAAATACGAGGTAGATATGACACTTGCGCACCGAAACTGAGGCACTCAAACTACACCAATTGGTGTGATTAGATTGCGATTCTATAGACAGCTATCTTTCCGGTCCTTTATCATCTGTCACATTCACTTGTATATGTCATACAATGCAAAGCGGAACGATTTTCAAACGCCACGCAGTAAAGACATGCGTCATCTATATTGTTAAACATCACTGTATGTACCTCGTATCGAGTTCGAATCCGCGACGTACTTCACGTGGCCTTCATAGTTCTAATGGAGTTTTCGACTCAAGCCGGACACGATAATGGTGAGAACCGCCCGCTGCGTCAGCGGTGCCGTGAAGAAACTGATGTCGCCTGAGGAAGACGACGAGGAGGCGGAGTACGATCGGGCTGACGACATGGTAACCGAGGCCTGGCTAGGGCGCCGGCCACTGCGCCATCGTGGCCACGACCCCCACGTAGGAGCCCTTCCAGAAGCTTTCGAAGAACTATGTACGATGCTCTGTGAATAACGCACGGTACAATCTCAGATAACGCGACCGCCTTCAGATGTTAATTGCTATTTATTTGGCTCGGGTGCTTACCCACTGCAGCTGGTGATCAAAAAACCCAAAGCATCTAAACACTTTAGAACCGCGGGGAGATAACAAAAATAGTTTTTGCATTCTTTACAACTGTGTTACTTTACGGTACTTAATGTTTTAAGAATAAACACGATCATAAAACTAATGTTGAATGAATACTGTTATTTCTATTTCAAGATAGAAATCTACTTGATTTATAATTATACCTTTTTTTGCTGTAAGTGTCGGTCTCTGCGTTTAAGATAACATTTGTAATGTGTGGATAAATTTATCTAAACATTATAAACTACCTAATTTCTATCGTACATTGTTGTTCGAAACGCTCTTCAGAGATTGCTGGTTGTCTCTTGTTTGTATTAGTTATTTTCTAAAGCTCCTGTACACTTGGCATTTTAACTTGGCGTACACGTTTTTACTATATGTATAAATTTTTCGTAGAATCGCTAGTGCTAGCTAACAACGGACATTTAGTAATAATATTGTTTATTGTTTCGCTCAATTGATCGCCGTATCCATTTAAGTGAATATGGGACATGCATTTATGGTTACATAACTATGCTTATACAGGGTGTCGTTACCATCGCGACAATAAATAAACACACATATAGGGGAAAACTTTTTGAAGTTGTATTAAACATTTAAATTCTTTAAACATCAATATTTACAGAGTTTAATAACTCTGTAAATATTGATGTAATTTTCAAAACAAAGAATTTTAGAACACCCATACCTATAAAAGCGTAACGTAAAGTTTATTTGTAAAGGTCACAAAGCATATGAATGGGTTGAATGAATTTAAAAGAGACAAAACATACTGTTAGAAGGAGAGGCTTGTAATACGACCCTGTGGCGCGAGTTGTATAGGATGTTACAAATTTTGTTTCTTTTTTACTTAATTAGTTTGTTTGAAAAAAATTTTTTTTTAATTATGGACTTTTTTTCAACGTTAATATTTTTTTATGATTATTGGCAAGTAGCGTTAGACGTGTGTTCATTTATTGTCGCGATGGTAACGACACGCTGTATAATCATAAACTATTGGTCTAAGAAATATGTTGAGAGGTTTGTCTTGAAGACAATAAGTTAATCCTTCAATGAGCATCTTTATTTCCAGCTAGAAAATTATATAACATCAACTATTTACTGTTAACAACTCATATTACGTATATACTTCATGAATATTCATTGACGCGCGTTCAACTATTTGCCGTTGCGAAATATTAACAATCGCCAGGCGTTGAATACATAATCGCCGATATTTGTGTACATCTGGCACAGCTATTGATGGGAGAAAATCATCACCGATATAAATAGACGAGTAATTTTCGTAATGAACTCTGCAGGTAATCGCCGCTCGCGTCTCCTCGTCTAGACAGGTTCTTGTCCCTCTCAAAGTCTAGTGCACAACGCGACAGAGCTGTCACGTCAGTTCTCAAGCCATTGCAACCAATGCTCGGCAAATAGGGGCAATGGAACTCTATAATTGCGCTTCTATTGTCCCCTACAGCGTCATCTCTAGCGTTCAGGCGAGACGATATTAATGGAGGACCCGTAAAGAGTGTCTTCGTGTTTAAACGACTAATCGTTCGAAGAACGGTTCTAATTATTACGTCTATTTTGTGTTTAAGCTTTTGCCGTAATTATATGCGTCGTTTTTTGTTGATTTAAGTAATAAATAACCATGAAACACCTCGCTACTTGTTAACGTGTTTCGTTCTATTGTGGATGTTTAATTATTTAAATATGAAACTAGGGCATGAGGAATTTAAGGTTTTTGAGGTTAAAACAACCCTACCCACAACTACGGGGACAGTAAAAGTTCTTAAACCATCTTGAAGTAATAGCCCATCTTCATTTATGTTGTAATAAAATATGCACTGAAGGTGCACTGTTATATCTAACAAGTTGTCTACTTTAAATTTGTGTTTCATCCCTTTATGCAGCCATTTTTTTCGTAGTGTGTTATAACCCGACTTGTCGGTTTGTAGACTAACACCCTATGTCCTATAATACCGCACATTTGACTCGTGAAAGATCCACCATTCACATAAAGCAAGCCTACGTTTTTTTTCTAACCGGTATTGGATACTAGCTGGTATTGCATAATTATCTGCGGCCATGTTTAAATGCTAATGCCACCTGTGATTTCCCTTCGTCGCGTTCGTCCGCCGTCTGGTTTTTCCACGTGACTCGATTTTAGAACTGTCTGTGCTCTATGATATTTTTTCCTCAAAAATCTATTATCAATTACGGGCATTTCTAATCGATTGTGTCACTGCTGCGCCTGTTTCATGTTGCTTAATTATAATAGTCGATATTTACGGCGAGCATGGTGTCGTTGACGTAGATAAAATTCGGTTTATAAAGAGAATTTCTCCAGTAATTGTCCATATTTTTTTTAGAGAGCTATAACATGTTAAATTTTATTATTAAAATTTGTAGTTATGTCCATATCCATTTGGGATGTTGTACTTTTCAAGTGGCAAAGGATTTTAAATTTGAAAAGAAATCTTTCCGGACATTATTCACAGTTTCACAAACACAAAGACACAAAATTCCATATATTAGTAGTATAGAATACAACGGAGTAAAGTAACGTTGGCAAATCGAAGACGATATCAATACTGAGAGAAGTCGAATCCTTGAAAAAAACGAAAAAACTTCTATTTTAAAGACTAATACACCATCTGTGTAACCTTCAACGAAGGTATGTAAATTACATACTTCCGTTTAATCTATTGGCCGCCATACAAACCGCGTTAATGTCAGCAGCGGTCAGTGCAAGTAGAATACTAAACCTCGGAACTGACCGATGAAAATATTTTAATAAACGATTTTGCAATTTTAATACGCAACAAGCCGATATAGAACAACATGAAAGGTGTATTCAGACAGCAATAGAACGCGATAATATAGTTTGCGAGTAAGACACGCTGCCACAGGCGAGTCTGCTAGTGAGACAAGTTGCCACAGGTGTACCACCCAGTTCACTGCACCCGCAGATCGGAGTTATCGCCGGACACGGATAGCGGGGCGCTATCTGAACCGCCCGCTATCGCTGTTTACGTTTCGCGCCTAACGAAGAAGGCGCGAGCGCTATCGTATCATCGATGTTGCTACGCTATCGCTGCGTGGATCTGTCGACGGTGTCGGAACCGCTTTCATGAACGATCCGTGAAGCGTTTTAGCTCGTTCCAGTGTAAAGCAAACGAATTTTAGCAACATCCATATTTCGAAGTTTGCGCTTTTCGATACGATGACATTGTGTTCGAATAAATGAAAAGAGAACAATTAGACGCGTGGTTATTTTCACCGGATGTGTTTTAGGATATTAGATTTTAGGATATTATAGGGATGGCGAAAAAATATGGATATATCGATAGTTTTTATTAAATAAATCGATATTTTAGTTGATATATTTTTTTCCGATATATCTAAATCGTATCAAAAACGAAATTTTATTTCAATTTCGAATCCGGGACAGAGTCCGTACATTCAAATATTGAATACCTGGCATACTTTTTTTGGACAACAAGACCTAAAAAGAAAATATCGATATTTTCTCTTCGATGTATCGAGGCCGATATTGATATTTTTGTAAATATCGATATATTTCTTCACTTTCGGCATAAATAGAATTTGAAATGCCAGTACGCGACTTAAATATGGAAAAGCAAATCACAGTAACGGGGAAAGAACTTTGCTTATACGGGGCAATGCACTTTGCATAAGACCTAGAAAGGAAACGAAGCCCCTAATGAGCCGTTACTTAGCCCACTTTAAAATGTGTCCAAGCACTTTCCGGCTGAATGAGGTGCAGTCGGCGTGCAGCCCTGCGGATTTTGTGATCTCGAATGATTTTCCTCATTTCCCGGAATGAACTCTCCTCTCTAGGACTCTTACCTCAGATCCACACTTACGATACTACTATATCATACTGTTGTATGCTGGAAAGGATGTAACAATGGATGCGCCAACCATTGCTTCCAATGCCAAAAAAACAATGTACATGAAAGACGTTAAGATGTTCGTCGTTGTGGCAATAAGCCGTTTAGTTCAGTGGCTAAAGCGTCAGGGCGTGAATCCCCAAGACGTGGGTGCGATTCCCACAGCGGCTACAAACATTTCGTACTTTTTTTCTACAAATTTTAATACTATATCATAAGTTTAACGTTCCGTATCTTTTCAAAAGTCAAAAAGCTTAATAGACTATTTGCTTCATAAATCAAAATTGAAATATTTATCGTAATCGTTCGAGTTTATTGTTTTTTAAGTAAATTAAAAGCATTTAAAATAAAGAACGAGAACAATAGTGTTAAGACATTACAAACTAGTGTTAGCTAGCATATTATACAGGGAGACTTTTATAAAGGTGCCCAAATTTACACAGCAGGTTCGGTAGCATAATCGTTTATTGTAATAAAAAACAACCTTTTTTTTCCAAAAAAAAAAATGCCATTCTATTCCCTAAAAAACAGAACGTGTTAAAAATGCGGTAGTCATTCATAAATACCTAAATTTTACTGTGCACGAACTTGTGTGCGTGTTAGTCATGAATGGTCGCGCGTAAAATAAATGAGTTGCGTATAAATCACGCACTTTTGAGATAAGTTCAATAGAATGTAATTAATTACTTAGGAGTGATTTGAAATATTTATCATTTTTTTATATAACATTATATGTGTATAGAATTTAATTTAAAAAAATGGATACAATTAGAAAAGCCACCCTGTATAATTTAAGCGAGCAGACAGGATGTAATCAAATGATTAGTCGGCATTAATTACTTTGTTAAAATTTTCTCTTATCGAAAAGTCGGCATTTCAAATATTTTCATAGAGTTTTAAGGCCTAACCGGTAGATAAAGCTTGATTCACGATAAGGTTCACTGAAAATAAAACGTTAGACGGATTAGTTAAGCGATAGTATTTGGAAAAATATCAGGAAGCGATAAACGTACCTTATAATTGATTTTTATTAGACGATTCCACACAGCATTAAGAGACTTCAATTAATACTTAATCGTTAATTAAACACATGCCAAGTATATCTTAAAAATCCTATCAAGACACTAGTCGAGCGCTCATTGGCGCGCCTCTGAGTGTGGTCGAAAGCCTTTATCAGTATTGTCCACCGTTTCGTAATAAAATTGTAGATTGTTTAGCGTTGTGCTAGATTTTTTTAATACACTTCCAATAATGTGATTGTAATAAGACTTTAGTATGTAATATGTAGGCTATAAGTTATTGAACGATTTGAAAAGCTTTTGGATCGCTAAATGTGTGCACAATTTTAATACTCTACTGTTATTCTAAATATGTTAATATATTTTTATTCAAGAGCCGCGATAGCTCATTGTCAATTTATTTCTGCATACGAGCAACCTGGGTTCAATTCCCGGTGCCGGCACCAATGAAATTGTTAATTTAAATTACACTTATCACGCGCTCAGCGGTGAAGGAAAACATCGTGAGGAAAACTGCATATTTTCGAAATAATAACGAAAGAAAAGTATTTCGTAGATATGTGAAGTCCGCCAATCCGCAATGGGGCGCGTTGTGGACCCTAACACCCCCAGTACAAAGGAGGCCTACTCTTACCTTAATATTTTATTTTTTCTATTAATTCTATTACTACGATTGTCGCAAACTGACGCTGAATTGTAATTAATTGTTGCCTTTTTAACGCTTTCCTTGGATCACCTCGTGGGCACGCCACGAAGTCAGGGTCGCTCCCTTTCTCCAGATGGGTAAGGATGACGTAGACGCGTGTGTTTGTTTGTTTGTACTACGGAAAGTTATAATAAAGATTGATTGATTATTTACTATATAACACATTTTTGGCAATAATAATCTTCATTGAAGATACAAGACAATAAAAAATACATGTGTGTACTTATGTGCGCTCGTACGAAGTAGTACTTCTTAAGCATAAATACATTAAATGCAGGTTGGTGTGTGGGCGCGTCGTGATAATTTTACTCTCATAATTTTAAAAACGCGCCAAGCAAAATAACTTCCCGTTTTTATCCTTAAAATTTGTAATGTTATGAACGTTATAAAAACCTTTTCGCAATTGCATAATTCGTGTTTTAACTATTTACGATAGGCACTTTACTTTCTGAAACGTGTGTAAGGTTATTTCGATGTCTAATGACGATCGGTTTGCCCAACGCAGGTGATGCAGCAGGACGTGAAGAAGGAGAATCCGCTGCAGTTCAAGTTCCGCGCCAAATTCTACCCCGAGGACGTGGCCGACGAGCTCATTCAGGAGATCACCCTGAAGCTGTTCTACCTTCAGGTCGGTCAAACGCGAAGACGAGTCGCCCCAGACCCTCCCTTACTTTATACCGCTGCAATTGAAAGTTTCACGGGATCGAAATCCTTTGAAACACTATCAACTCCCTTGGTTATTGCCGCTTTGTATGTGAAAAAATACGAATTCTACGCTTAGTTCAGTGGCTGGTTCGATCACGCAGTGACGAAAATTTTTCGTCAATTGATCTACACAAAATTTGCTGTACTACTAGTGTTGAAGATTAATTAATCATAAATTTCAATAGCAAAGGAAAGAAAGAAATGTTTATTTGGCACAAAAAAACTCTTATAATAACAAAATAACAGTGAAAAATTAGCAAATCAATGCAACAAGAAGGTAACCACTCAGCATTCGTTGAAGGCGACGTATCTTGTGAAATAGTAATTGTAAAAATATTGTTTAAAAAGTGACGGTTTGTTATAAAGTATGCAAACTAGATGTTTGGTAAACATTGCTAAAATGCAAGAAAGAAAGTAGACAGAAATCGAGATTTTCACCTCATCTGTCTACTTTCTGTCTATATATCTATCGACGTCGAGCTTAGTGGTTAAGAGTGATTGGTTTCTTTTCGTGATTAATTTTATTTTTTATTTAAATTCTATTTGTAAATTTTTTATTTGGGCACATTCAGATTTCAAATGATAGTTTTTATGACATACACTATGATGAAATATTTTGACTGTAACCTTCAGACTTTATGTAGGCCACAGTGTGATGAAGGATGTTGAATTTTAGACATTCCTACATAATCCTATAGCTGTTTTTTTAATCATTGAAATCATTGGCCCTCTCTCTACTTCATGGGATACTTCACTATCGTGAAACAATCTACAAGTTTAATTTGAAGAATCAATATGCCTCCTTCCACTGTTCTACCATTATCGCGGTCAGTCCCGGATTTAGGGGGGAGCAACCGGGGCAATAGCCCCGGGGCCCCCACAATAGAGACTTCGGAAAAAAAATTCAAATTGAGACTAGTAAACAACTTTTCCTTTCATATTTTTTTCGCGTTTTACTTTTACCTATAGTACTTTGTACAAACATGATTACATTAAATATTAACCTCCACTCCTCTGTTGCCCCGAGGCCTCCTGGCCCTGATCGCGGTGATACCTCATGCGATTAGTCATCAGCGACCTTCATTCATTCGTCTCAATCGGCGGCAGGTGAAGAACGCGATCCTGTCGGACGAGATCTACTGTCCGCCGGAGACGTCGGTGCTGCTGGCCTCGTACGCGGTGCAGGCGCGCCACGGCGACCACAACCCCTCGCTGCACGGGCCCGGCTTCCTGGCCAACGACCGCCTGCTGCCCCAGCGGGTCACCGACCAGCACAAGGTCGGCGCACACGCACACACTCATACACACTCATACATACACACACACACACACACACAAGAGGGCACCTACGGAGTTCCTTTCGCCCCGTTTCTTCTCCCTCGGAGGAACGATTATTACGTAACGGTGGTAGGTTTGAAAGATGACTATCGATAGGGGAAAAGTATATATTTCTTACTTCGATGAATGATTGATTTGATTTCATTTGAATAGTGCAAGATTGACACACACAAGCATTGTCCCCGGCCCAGGCTCACTGTTGAATGAGTCTCTGGATGACAACGTACGATGACGTGCTGCAGATTGGCAAGGCTCTTATAATTTACCATAGGTGAACCATTTGGGTGATTGCCACCTTCTCTTGTCAATAAAGGTCTCAAGGACCCTTGGACGATGGGTATGCGTAATTATGCCGCCTGTCATGGATACCTGACAAGACCCTCAGAGTCAGAGTACCCGATGCTGTCGCAGGTTAAAAATTAATGAGATATAACGCCATCTACCGAAAAGAACATTAGAACTTTTAACCAAACAGACTTTGCTTTAAAGCAATTAACATATCAAATATTTCTTTATTTGAACAAAAAAATAAGATTAAATTTCGTATTATAAAGAGTAGTCGACACTGGCACAGGTTCAAAATTAATGAGATATAACACCATCTACCGAAAAGGACATAAGAACTTTTAAAGAAACAGACAACGCCTCCAACCCAATTAAAGTGAATTGTGACAATAAATTGGATTACGCTTAGTATTACATATAGATTTGTCCATTATTCAACAGATGTCCCGCGAGGAGTGGGAGCAGAGCATAACGAACTGGTGGCAGGAGCACCGCGGGATGCTGCGCGAGGACGCCATGATGGAGTACCTGAAGATCGCCCAGGACCTGGAGATGTACGGCGTCAACTACTTCGAGATCCGCAACAAGAAGAACACCGAGCTGTGGCTGGGCGTGGACGCGCTGGGGCTCAACATCTACGAGAAGGACGACAAGTGAGCACATTGGACCTACTCGATAATGGAAATTCAACGTCTAATATCCTGCGCCAGAGGCAGTGGGTTCGATCCCCACTACTGGAAAAATATTGTGCGATGAACATGTTGTTTCCAGTGTCTGGGTGTTTATATACGTATTTATTTATAAAAGTATGTTTATCAGTGATGTCCATAGTACAAGCGTTACTTAAAAAAATGTCTCAAACTTCCTTAAAATTTACGATAAACATTAAGGATGCCGCATAATCAGCAAGTGGATGTATCGCCATCTGTTTCGCGGCGGGGGTCGTAGAGGGTCGCGAATGGCGATATACAATAATCGATTTGCCGCCGCAGGCTGACGCCGAAGATCGGGTTCCCGTGGTCGGAGATCCGCAACATCTCGTTCAACGACCGCAAGTTCATCATCAAGCCGATCGACAAGAAGGCGCCCGACTTCGTGTTCTTCGCGCCGCGCGTGCGCGTCAACAAGCGCATCCTGGCGCTGTGCATGGGCAACCACGAGCTCTACATGCGCCGCCGCAAGCCCGACACCATCGACGTGCAGCAGATGAAGGCGCAGGCGCGCGAGGAGAAGCTCGCCAAGCAGGCGCAGAGGTATACGCCGCCCCCCTCTCTCTATCTCTCTCTGTCTCTCTCTGTCTCTCTCCCTCCCAACCTCCCGTCGACGTGCAGCAGATGAAGGCGCAGGCGCGCGAGGAGAAGCTCGCCAAGCAGGCGCAGAGGTATACGCCGCCCCCCTCTCTCTCTGTCTCTCTCCCTCCCAACCTCCCGTCGACGTGCAGCAGATGAAGGCGCAGGCGCGCGAGGAGAAGCTCGCCAAGCAGGCGCAGAGGTACGCCCCCCTCTCCCCCGATATTAGGAGTCGACGACTTGGAGTCGACGTCTCTGCCAGACTCTTAGCGTCTGGCTTCAAAGGGAACAATAGATTCTTCTTTGCAGTGTTCTTTGGGATTCACTACCCACAAATCATAAATAACGCTTAAGTAAAGCATAGTCCAAATGTGTATGGTGATTTGGATCCAAGAGACGATGAGAATTGTCTTTAATTAAGTTATCTCTATTGCAAAAATGTGCATGTTAAAATCGTACAAGTACATTGCATTACATTTTTACACCAAGCAATTAACACTTTTTTCTATGATGATTGCGTAAATACAAGAAATTATCACTTCTTTCTACGGCTAAATCAAGCTTAGTCTTAGATGTGTATTATGTATTCAAAGTAAGACACCACACAAAAATCCTGTTGTTTCTATGAATTTATCTAATGCCTCATTTTCCAAATCTTTAAAAACATTAATAATTTATCGTAAACTGTATTTGACATTTGCAGGGAGAAGCTGCAACTGGAGATCGCAGCCCGGGAGCGCGCCGAAAAGAAACAGCAGGAGTACGAAGACAGGCTTCGCCAGATGCAGGAGGAGATGGAACGCTCTCAGGTATGTAAAGATTTAAGTTATTATGTAATTTTTTTCAAATTGCAACATGAAGATGTGTATAGGCTACTATTGTAATTTATATTCTGACTTCTCAAAGATGTAGTCCTATTATCCTTGTGACATGCCGAGTCAAGTAAGCTCAATATTGTGATGCAGGTTAAACCGTCAATCAGGACTAAACCATGATGTTGCCATTTATAGACTTATGACTGTTTTGTCATATAGTATATGAGAAAAAAGAGTACCTTGTTTAACGATGTAGAGTATTTAGGTAGGAATATTTGAATTTAATAGTTTAGTAATTTTAATAAAAAAAAATTACCTGGGGAAAATTCATTGTTTACTAAAGTTGGATAAAAATGGTCGAGCCGATGATGTTGAAGTGTGGTTCATTTTGCAGGCCAACTTGCTGGAGGCGCAAGACATGATCAGACGGCTCGAGGAACAGTTGCGGCAGCTGCAAGCCGCCAAGGAGGAGTTGGAGCAGCGCCAGAACGAGCTGCAAGCTATGATGCAACGCCTCGAGGAGACAAAGGTACAACCGATGACCCTCACCACATCAGTATGTGGTTTACATTCAGAGGGGGACTAACGCCAGTGTTGCCAACTATTAAAAAAAATAGCCTTATAATCAAGATGAAATATCCCGAAATGCAATTTTCAACAGCCCCATAAAAATGTCCTGTATTATATTCTAAGATATTGTTTAAATGATTTTCTCCCTCAAAAAAGCCTTATTGGGGGCTAAAAGCCCTAAGTTGGCAAGACTGAATAGCAACTAAACTAATTAACATACTGTATAGTATTATTAACTTTAACTGTGGTCACGCGATAGTGTTCGCTGTCGTGTAAGGGAAGGTCCGCCAAGGTGTGTAGGTTCGTTCATACCTCTTCCGCGTTTCTTTTGCAGGGTCTACTTTACATTGCTCATTGGCCATTGTTGCCACTTTCTCACTTAAAGAAAAATATATAGTGATAGTAAAGTATGTATTGGCTACTTTCGCGCAGAACATGGAAGCGGCCGAGAGGCAGAAGCTGGAAGATGAGATCCAAGCCAAGCAGGAGGAGGTGTCCCGCATCCAGCAGGAGGTGGAGCTCAAGGACTCGGAGACGCGCCGTCTCCAGGAGGAGGTCGAGGAGGCGCGCCGCAAACAGGTAACAGTGAGATCGAAGAGTTAAAATAATTTAAATATAAATGAATCTCGTGGAACGCTGAACGATGATGCCGGCGCGCAGGACGAGGCGGCGGCGCTGCTGCTGGCGGCCACGACGCCGCAGCACCACCACGTGGCGGAGCGCGCGGAGGGCGAAGGCGACGGCTCCGCCGACGGCGAGGGCTCCGACGGCGGCTCCGAGTCGGGCGGCGGCGAGCTGGCGCGCGGCCCCGACGACCTGGTCGACCCGCTCGACGAGCGCCGCACGCTCGCCGAGCGCAGCGAGCGCCTGCACAACCAGCTCAAGGTCGGCCCTACTTGCCACTACCTACGACCAGTTTGACCATGACCATGCCTACCACTGAATACAATCATTTTGACGACGACTAAGCCTACCACTGCTATGACCATTTTTCCAACAAGCATTTTGACCCGTTCGCCATATTGACCACTAGCAATTCCCCCGCAGGCGCTGAAGCAGGACCTGGCGCAGTCGCGCGACGAGACGAAGGAGACGGCCATGGACAAGATCCACCGCGAGAACGTGCGCCAGGGCCGCGACAAGTACAAGACGCTGCGCGAGATCCGCAAGGGCAACACCAAGCGCCGCGTCGACCAGTTCGAGAACATGTAAGGCGGCCGCCATCGGGCGAGGCGCGCACGGCCAGACGGCCCCGGGATGGCCTAGGACCGAGTTTCCACCGCCGTGGCTTAAGTGTAAATATTGCTTACCGTTTACTTATTAGTAATTTTATTTTAGGCTATAACGTGCTATAACCGAATATGTATACGCAGAGAGCCAGAGCCGATAGGAGCGTGTCCTGTCTGTATACATGTATGCAACAGTAGATTGTAACGAGTCGCGAGAGCACACAGATTTGTTTTTATTATTATTATTATTATTATTGATAATTAATACTATTATTATTTATAAGCATTTTGGATTTTATTCGATAACCGTGTTATATCCGTGACGTGAGGTCGGTTCGTGAGTCAAATTGAGTGCTGTGTGCTTCGGGTTATAATGTATGTGGCCGCATCGGACGCACTGGGACGAAGGTGCTCCCTCGTCGAGGACCTTGCTCAAAGACCAGTCCGGAGTCGAGCTGGAGGGGGATCGGGGGAGGGTGAAAGGGTAGGGGGGGGCCGTCCCCCTTATTTATTTTTATAATCATTTATATTCTAGTTATAGGAGTTTAAATAGAGTTTCAAGTGTAATTACAGTTTCCCTGGCGGCTCTGCCGTTTAATGCTCGTGTTCCGCGCGCGCACGTCCGTCTGTACGTCCTCATATTACGTCGTTTATATAAATATATATGTATGAATTATATGTGTATCGTATCCGATACTGCCGGTTTCGCAACTCGTCGGCCTACAGTACCGCTCGCGGCCAAAGTCCGATACGATATTCCCTAAAATTACCGCTGACATATCTAACCGTATGCTTTTATAGGATGTGTATAATGTTATTGAGTAAGTGAATCGTATAAAAAGGCATTCCATGTTGGGGGGCTCGCAGCGCGGTGGCGTTTCGAGTGGTGTCGTTTCTCGTTTTCGTTTTCGTTTCCGTTTCGTCGCAAGTGCCATCCGCGTGGCGCCTCCGCGCCGATCCGTCTGCGATTGCAATGTTAATGTCGTCGTTTCTGAGAATTTATACAATACCGTGTTGCCTTTCAATCTAGGACGAAATTCTTTTTCCAATAAAAATTGTTTAAGTAAATATTTCAACAGTGTTTCATTTAAGTATCTCGAGTTAACACATGCCCCTACACACCCAGGTGAATTTTTTATTACTGGTGACTGGTGAGTGAGGTAGCCGAGGGCCAATTTATAAAAGGTTGTAAACGCGTCTGCAACCCTCGGGTGTAGCAGATGTCCATGGGCGGGGATATTCACTTAACATCAGGTGGACCGACTACCTGGTGTGCAACTTTGAACATAAAAAAAATATACCTACCAATTATTACTAAAGGTAATGTTCAATTTATGATATTTCTGTGTAGACACAACTAAAGTCTTGTATTACCGATATAATTTAATTAACAATAAACATTATGGGATAAAAATGAGCTGCGGTCTATTTAAAAAGACTTTTCAAATCAAAATATACATCATGATCATATATTGTGATTAAGAGTAATTTTTAAAAAAAGATAATAATGTTATTTACTTTTGAAATAGATGTGCGTTAAAAGTCCCATCTAAAAACTACCAAAATATTTAGAATAAATCACGATATACATAAGAACTTAATACGAAATATTTTTTTTTATATAAAGGCACCAATTAAGGCTGTCGGCTTTTTAGCGAAATATTTATGAGTTTTTTTTTATAAATAAAAACATTTTGATTTTAATTATTTGTTCCTCAACATCTATTCAATGTCGTCAATAAACCCTGCTGGTGCTGAAAGACTGCTGATGTCTGACCCATCCAAGGAACCAAACAATTTTTTCTTTCTTTCTTTTTTTTTTTATAAAACATTGCCCTCACTTTAGTATGACATTATCCTGTGTTGCAAGGACGTTTTACATAAATAAATTTCACGTAGACAAACACCCAGATGCGAAACAACTATCTGTGGGTCACATAAATAGTTGTCCCGTGTGGGGATCGAACCCACGAGCCCCGGCGCCGAAACCGAAGCCCGCTTGACGACTGCGCCACGGAGTCACCAATGTATGAGTTCATAGTATGAGCACGACAACCTTCTGCCTTCCAACCAAGCAACTGCAGTAGTATTCTATTATCCCATCCAGACCAGGCACATCATTTTCTATCAATAAATAAACAATATTGTCTTCTTGACATGTCGAGACTTAATTTTGCCTCTGTATCCGCCATAAAAACGTATATGTTCACCATAGTACGAGCGAGCTTGCCGTATTTGGTACGTTATCCAGGGCGAATCAAATTGTCTGTAATCCGACAGGGTGAAATAAATGTTATTTCTTTCTGCAGTTATTTTTAAAATAAGTTAATTTTAAAACCTATGAAATTGCCGTTTTGTATGTAATAGGTTAAAGTATTTTTTTTTTACTTTTTATATCTGTTATTCAGTGTCACAATCACCAATGCAATAGATGCATCTTTGCCAACGCAGTGGTATTTTATTGATGCCCTTGTAAACATCAACTGGACGAGAGGCAACAAGCTCTTTAGTGCTCTCTCTAATGTTTAGTGCATACCCCTGACATTATGTCCTGATACAAAGCAAAAACCAGGTTTGTCTGTTATGTTAACCATTAATTTGTTTTCTTCGCTTATTATTGAATATTAACTAGCTAATTTCACATTCTGTATAGACTCGTAGTTAGTTTTAACTTGCATTCACTAATTTAATAATTTCATCATCATCATCATTTCAGCCTGTTTAGAGTTCACTGCTGAACAAAGGCCTCCCCCCATAGACTTCCACGAAGTACGATCCTGAGCCACAACTTTCATATAATATTAATAAATATTTGTTCTTGTTTACATTTTGGTAGATTTTCCTAAAAAATTACCTGATTTGTGCCTAATTTTTTTTTTATTTTAACTGCTCGTTTGACAACTTTTCGCATAAAAAAATTGTTGAAAATAATAAAAATTTTCAATGATAAATAGATACATGTTTTGATTGTGCTTTATCCCCCGCCTTATTGTCTGCGAGACTACACTTTTGTGGATCTCCACATACTTACTGATGCGTCGCAGAGCGCCTATGGTGCCTGCCTTTACGTGCGAAGAGTTACCGAAAACAGAGTGTTCTCGTTACTTTTGGCTAAGAGCAAAGTTGCTCCATTAAAGCCGCCTACGATCCCTAGGTTGGAGCTCGGCGGGGCTCTTGTAGGAAGGAGTACGCCTTTACGAAAAGGCTATAGATTCTCTCCGGATTGAAGTCAAACATACCACTTTCTGGACTGACTCAACGATAGTGCTGGCTTAAGATGTTGCCTAATAAATTGCAACCTTTAGTCCGCAATCGTACGGTGGAGATTATAGAGAAAATAGAACCTTTTTTGTATGGGAAAAAAGCGGCAAACGAGCAGGAGGCTCACGCGATGGTAAGTGATCACCGCTGCCCATGGACACCTGCAACACCTGAGGGCTTCAAATGCGTTGCTGGCATTTTAGAAAAGAGCATGCTCTCTTCTTGAAGGTTCCCAGGTCGTAACGGTTCGGAAAGACCGCCGGCGGCAGCTGGTTCCACAGAGTGGTTGTGCGAGGCAGGAAATGCCTTAAAAATGGCGCTGTTTTGGACATCAAGGTAGTGTGGGTGAAATTTTTGGTTTTGGTGCAATGTCCGATGGTGAAATTCAGCCGCCGTAATCAATGAAAACAATTTCTAGGAACACTCCCCGTGATAGATGCGGTAGAAGATGCAGAGTGATCCAACGTTTTTACGCAGAGCCAAATGATCAAGCCGATCGGAAAGACTTTGATCGATGTGAAGTACTCTCTTGCCTTGCTGAGCACACCAAGCTTTGAGGCACATTTGGCTTTACTTTCCAATTGACCGCGGAACTGGACATTGCTCGAGACTTCGACGACAAGTATTTCTATACTCGCTGTGGCAGACAGTGTTCTCAAAATGAGGAGTTACGACAAATGGGGACTTTTTAGCAGTTAACCCGCAAACTTGTGTCTTATTGGGGTTGAATTAGACTAAGTTTAGTCAACCCCAGTCTGAGACTTTAGTTATCAAAATCTCGACTTCAGACACAAGCTTTTTCCGGCTCTCATAGATGTTTTCCCGAGAAATGTTAGCACGGCCAATGTATGAGACATCCGCATTGCTATCATCTGCATAGCAATGAACGTTGCTGATTTGCAACATGTCATTAATATGCAGAAGAAACAGAGTGGAAGATAGCACGCAGCCTTGCGGAACACCGGCATTGACAAATTTAGGATCAGAGCATGCACCGTCGATGACGACCTTGATTCTCCGATCTGCCAAAAAGCTGGTGATCCAATTGCATAACTTCTCGGGAAGCCCATAGGAAGCTTCGAAAGAAGAGATTTATGCCATACCCGATCAAAGGTCTTCGCTATGTCCAGACTGGCTGCAAGCGCCTCTCCCTTGCTCTCAACTGCCTTGCTTCATCTGCCCATCTGTGTCAGGTAAACTAGAAGATCACCGGCTGAGCGACCTCGACGAAAGCCGTACTGGTGGTCGCTAATCAAGTGGTGCACCTCTAGGTACCGCAGGAGCTGGCAGTTAGTGAGGGACTCCATTATTTTGGAGAACAAGGTGATGACGTAATGACGGATGATGCTACTTTACCTGACGTCACGTTCCCACTGATCAAAATGCTGCTGAAAATATTTCTCACAGCGTTGATGTCGTAGAGTTACAGGGCCTCAATCTGTGGAGGTCAAATCCTCAGTTTCTGCTGCAGGATTCCTCTCAATCGCCTCCTAGTCTAGTCCAGTCCAGGGACTCCTATATCGCCTGAAGTTCGCTCTAAGCTATCGTATCGTTGCACTTTTCAGTTCCGCGCAATGATGTGATTACCTCAAGCTACAGCTTATAGATTGAGGTTCATAAATTCATGCAGAAAATTTCCTCCGAAAACCGCTCAGTTAAGCTCTTAAGAGCTACAAAACGCGTTGAACTCGATCATTAGGAAATCCCAATCAGTCGTTT